CTGTCAGAGGGGAGATGGCAAATCAAATAAACTCTGGTATGAAAACTGCAGGGTTTTTTTTTGAAGTAGTAGAGGATGCTGTAGGACCAGCACTGATGTGACAGCACTTGTAACAGCACTGTTTCAGTGAAAACGATTGACTAGAGCTGCTTATAAAGACTACAGGGGAATGAGGATTGCTAACTGCTGCCTCTCAATACACAGCTCTTTCATCAAGTGTAAACCACGTAGGACTTCTGCTGGGTGTGCTAAGGTATTCTTAGAGAAGATTTTCAGTGGAAAATGCATTTGTTCCCTTCAAATTAAATATCCTCTGCTCCCGCAGAGTGCAACTCTCAGGACTGGACCCAGGAATATTTAAAGGGTTTACCGGCTGCCTTCCACTTGGCAAACAAGCTCATAAAACTTTACAAGAAAATACATAGAGAGCAGGTGACAAACTAGCTCTTTTGTTTGAAGTTATTAAAAGTAGCCTGTTCATCATGTAGGAAGTAGTTTTGAAGTAATTTTGCTGCATAAACTAATCTGCTGAATCAAAGCGGTCAGATTTCTAGTGGCAGACACCTGAAGGCAGCGCTTATGGTGACCTTTCTCTTACAGGTAACACTGACACTTCTGCTGTCCGGTGTTAAGGCAATCTTGGCGTTTGTTCTTCCTAGGTGGAAAGCCATGGCATAGAGGCATCCTGGGCTGGTGGCGAAAAGGGCAGAGAAGTAATGGATAGAGTTTTTCCATTAGTACCAGACCTACTTTCACCAGGAGGATTATTCTACTTGGTCACAATTAAAGAAAATAATCCAGGTGATTGCTTGCCTTGGGCTCTTAAATGTGCCAAACCAGATTTAACAGTGCATTAATCAAAATGTTGATCACAGCAATGTTCTGTAGGTTATCAGACGAGTAAACAACACAAAGTGGTTGAATCTCACGTGGTGATGGCAACCAACTGAAGATTAACAGCATGTATTGAAGTGCACTTAGGTGTTCTAGATCAGTTTTTGGAAATGCTGCAGACAGCTGGAGCATATCTGCATGCTATGTACAAACCGTGGCATCCCTGCGGGCTCTCGTGCTTCTCGCCTTTCAAGTCTGTGCGTGTGTCTGCTGCACAGAGAGACTTATACGTAACCTGATGCCTCTTGGAATCCTTGTTGTGAACTCTTGCCTTATGCAGCCAGTGTATGGTGAGCTAGGCCAAAAATACAAGCAAATTTTACCAAAACTAAGAAGTACCTAAGCTGGTTTGGAAAAATGGTAGTATGCTGAGCCCAGTAGCTCTGCAAGGCTCCAGTTCCAAAAGGTGACTGTAAATCTTCTGAACTGAATAACCAAGTGAGGCCAACCTTTCCCATGAAAGAGAATGGTAGTGGAAACTTAAAAGGCAAAAGCCATTGGTGAGGAACGTGATCTCTTTCCTTTTGATATGTGTGAAGATCCAGACTTGCTCCTTCTGGCCTAATGCTCAACAGCTATACATTGTCAAGTAGTTTCAAGAAGAAAGATTACTCTTTCACACCTGATTGATTAAGCAGCTTTGTGGAGAAGGAGCTACAAACTTCCGTTTCTCCTACAAATCGTGTTCATAACCGAATTGTTCATTGCTGTTAATATCAAAACACAGAACTTCAGTTAGTAAATTGTAAGCTTCATTTGTTCTTGGTGGAAGACTACTCTGCATTAAAATTACTGTCAGAGGACAGAGTTTACCACCTTTGCTTTACAGCTGATGTAAGGCAGTGCGAATAGATCTGCCAAACAGACAATTTCTGTATAAACTGGGTTGTAACGCTGCACTTTCTATTACAGATGAAATTCTAGAAACGATGAAGAAATGTGGCTTAGAAGGCTCACGGGTGCTTTCCAGGCAAGCAGGACAAGAGGTACTTACTATCCTCAGATTCAGGAAGTCCTGATAACTACTCTGAACCTTCCAACTACTCGGCACGCAGAAAGTTGAACAGAGGGGACTGAAGTTGTCACATCAATTTTTAAGCCAAGATCTTCACCCCCTCAGGGCGTACCCTCACCTCCTGACGACTGCAGCGAAACTGATCATGAGTCTCTACTTGCTGTTACCCTGGATGCGAACCAGCTGCTGTCAAAGGTACAGCTGTCCTCTGGACAGTTGTGGGGCAACTCTGAAATACCCTACGCTGCTGCATTTGCTCTTGAGCACTAAAGACTTCTTTCCCCTCTGTATTTAGGTATTTGTATATTTGTCATTGTGGCTTATTACAACAATGCACTTAATTCTCCCTGTTTTAATAGCTAGTCTATACCTGTATTACCTTCAAATGAAGGCTTGGAATCTGTGTTACACATTTTCATGTGGGATCAGGCACTTTTACCAGTCTAACTTACAGGTGCTGAGTTTGTTTCTGTTGTAAAGAAACAGTGCAGTGTGCTGCTGAACAGAAAGGTGCTGTAAGGGTATCTCAGGAGCTGGGACAAAGGCAAGCTGATTCTCTGCTGAAGTCCTCTGGGCAATGTTCTGCTGCCTTTTATGCCATTTCATAAGGAGGGTACTACCACGGAGATGTAGATGAGAGGAGGAGTTCTCATCCACTGAAAGCCATTAAGGGGGAAAAATAGTACCTAAGATGCTATTAGAAAGGCAATTGCTGGGTAGCTGAAAACAACCCTAAGTAGTGGAATGAAAGTCCTCTCTTAAAATCATTACTCCAAATGGGAAGCTGTTTCCTGACCCCAGACCCTGCAAAGAGCTGTCCTCTGCAGCCCGGTGCCCACAGGAAGTTCTAATGCCGCACTGTGAGACATGTGCTGTGAGGTGAGCATGGCCCCATGAGGAGGGGGTCTTGCTCCCAGAGCCCACAGCACTGTTCCATCAGTGAGTGCCAGCGCCAGAAGGCACACTGCTGCCTTCCACGTGCCTGCACCTCTTTGTTATACCAGAGCCAAGACAAAGGCTCTCCATAAGGCTGTTCCCAGTAGAGAGTTGGCAAGTTGGGGTCTGCTCGACAGGTTCGAGATGGCTCTTTTCAAGCAATACCCAGCTACCCCCAGCTGGCCTCCTAATCAGTGACTGAACGTGCACATAACTCATGTGGAATAACTGGGCTTTTCTGAAACACAGTGATACCACGGAGACAATCTTGGAGTTTCAGTATCCATAATTATGAAAACAACACAGCTTGCTCCTTAATCTGTGTTTTCAGTTAGACCTTCTCCATAGCAGTTTTAAATGCTTTCCATTCTTTCTCAAAGCATGTCAAGAAATTTCTCCTTTGGAAGCCCAGTGTTACCCGATAACTTATGTCTGTATTTTTAACAACAGCTAAAAACTAATTTCTAGAGCTGTCACCTCAAAAAATGGACCAACTTTGAGAAATCACACAATCTTAAAGAAAAAAGTGCTTTGAGGCAGAGCCAATTGATCAAACTGTTGGATGCCTGGTTTATAGTGCATACTATTCATTTCTGAAAGTTTATCACACAGAGGAAGGGACAGCCATCCAGAGAGTACAGGGATGGGCAGACGTAATTTATTTATTCCTCCCCTTTTATTGACTTTTCAAAGAAATCCACCACACATACCACCCAAGTTAGAATATATGCATATGCTCCTGCTGTTAAAAAAAGCATGAAAAAGTATATAAGAACTAAGTATTGTCTGATACATCTCATCAATACTGAGTTCTGATACATCAGTCATGTTCCTTACTACGGTGGCACAGTGGAAGTACAGTGACACAGCACTATCCAGGGATCGTTAATTTGCCAGCTAATGGAGACATTAACTGAGATTCTGAAGACAAGAACTGATCAGTGCGTGTACCTTCTCTTTTAAAGCCAGTCGGCAACAGCTGGGCAGCGTTCTTCACTGCCACGCAGGAATGACTGTACCCTCTCAATTTACTCGGGCTTTTGACTTCTCAGGGGTTTAGGGTGCTGGGTGGCTGAGGTTTCGGGTGTTTTTGGTGTGGGTTTTTTGTGTGGTTTTTGTTTGGTTTTTTGGGTTTTTTTAAATAAGACTGTTAAAGGTGAAAGCTCAGTTCATAGCCATGTTAATTTAGAGCATTCTATGTTTAAATTTATGCTTTAACAGAAGGTTATCCATGTAGCTCCATACCTTAACGTCCAACAGCCACAACATCCTTTTTTCCCCTCTGTAAGAGGAGTTATTATGAACGCACTGTAACCACAAATCAAGTCTTTATACGACCCACGTTAAATCCAACTCTTACATCAAGAGGCATGATCTTGGTTAAGCGCATAACACCGTGTTACAATGTATCTAAAATAAGAGGTTTTAATCCACTGTGCCATGGCTTAAACACCACTTTTCAGATGTAACTACATTATTTCTGATTTGTTAACATACCTCAATACCTTAAGAATATACAAATTAAAATAAATTATTCTTATATATCTCTTTATATCAAAGAATCTCCAAGCTTACAAAACAGTCCAGAGGTAAATATGTGTCATATCCAGCTAGTCAAGAACTTAACGTAACTGACACTATTTCCAAGTAGTTAGCTTCATTCAACATAGAGTTTATTGCCTCCTCTTCATTTATTCTTTAGCTCACAGAAAGACTTTTATTTCAGAAAAATGTCTCTCGACAGAGTGGACAGGTGGATTTGTTGCTGGATGTGAACCACTTGTACTGAAAGAGAAACACAATGGTTCAATATACAAATGCAAGCTGAGCATCAGGAACACTGGTTTATCACCAGTAATAGTTATACATTGGCAAATAATAGTTATCAAAACCCTAACTATACTTTAAGAAAAGCAACAAAAAAACAGTAGAAAAACCCTTCCCACCTGTGTGAGTATGCACGTATAGACATACATATGTATTTGCTACACCCTACATAGATGTAAACGGACAGTTACCACCTGTGATGTGTAGCGACCCCTCTCGCGTTAAATGCCCTTGCAGCTTAGTACAAAATCCACACAAGTAACACATGAATTCGGTTAATCCCAGATACTCCAACGACATAATGGAGAATCAGTGGTCTTGCAGTAGAAGTTCCTGGTTCAAACTATAAATAGATTTTTTGCCTATTTAAAAAACATTCACTCTAGGTACTTACCAAGCAAGCTGAATGAAACTTTTTCTTGCATGTTCTGCAAGCTTTTTTGGGAAGAGAATAGTTGGAACCATGAATGACTGAAAAACAGATCATGCAGTCTTCAATGCCCTCAAAACGTTTATCCACATTATTTTTCCACAAAGACAAGCCTTCCATAATACTTCCATTCTAGCGGAGGGAAAAAGAGATGTAAATATTGTAGAATTCTTTCAGAATATTCTTACCGTTAGTCTTAAGCACATGAAAGACACAAAGCCTGAAGGCTTTATAATCTGAAATTACATGCAGTATATGCAGTGAGCAATTGAAAAAGCCAACCCATGAACTACAGGTGACAGTTGAACCTTTAGAAATGCAAGCATTCTCAATGCAGTGAAAAGAATGCACTTGGGTGCACTTAAAAGTTTTTTTGTTGGTTGTTTTTTTTGTTTGTTTTGTTTGTTTGTGTAGCTTTTTTTTTTTTAACAATTTTAATTTTTAAAGTTCTCTTTAAGTTAAAAGTTTTGTCATGTTCTAACCACAGACGATGCAACTTCAGCAACCACCAGTCTTCTAGAGAATTTCACTTACTGGGTTGTTTGTGGGTTTTTTTGTTTGGTTTGTTTTCCAAATTATAGTTGAGATGATGCTGCCACATAGGGCAAACACTGGCCCATATCTTAAGAGATCTAAATTCTCAGCTTTGGCTATGGATTTAACAGGAGTTATTAGTCAGATCATCCTATGTCTCTGTTTCAGCATCTGAAGAAAAGCAGATGGTAGGACTGACCAATTCCATGAAGTCCTTTGTGATCTACCAAGGAGATCCGTTACACAGATCTGAATGACACTACTAGGAATATTTTTCCATAAGTTTTCAAACACTGAGCTTTCTCTAGCCTCACCTGATGGGTAAGATATGTGCTTAACTGCAGCATCCAATTGCGCCACTGCTGTACAGCCACACCAACCCTCTTTCCACTTTCAACTGTTATGGATCCCAGTGGGTAATTTGATGGAAGCTGTATTATTAGTTCAATAAATATATCATCAACTGAATAGGTAGCAATGACTTCCCGTGCAGCAGACCGAGCTTTTACCTATAAAACATGCACATATGAAAAAACTCCACCATCTCTCATCTTTACATATATACACACATACATACATATGTACATGCACACATACCATGAATACTTTACTACGCACGTTAAATAATTTTCTTGGAGCAAAGAAAATAAAAATCCACTCATATCTTGGCAATCCAAAAAGCAACTACCAACCATCTTTGAATCTACTGATTCATTACATTTTTTAATAAACCTAAAAGCATTATCTTCCACTTACCTCCTCAACTTCTCCAACATCATAAAACCCATTCTTTCCTTCTTTTTCACCCCAAACCAAACATTAATAAATGTCAACTTAATGTATCAATACTAGGCTAAATTATGTTTTCAAGAGTCATTCAGAACAAGAAAAACGTGATCGTATAAGACACTGTAACACAGTCTGCTTCTGAGAGGTGCCATTTATTAAAGTGTGCAAAAACCAGAAGTAAAATAAAAAAAAAAAAAGGACAAAAAGTGTTACTAACCGTCATGCCATTAAACAACTGCGTGCTAGTCTGAACAGAAGATATTTCCTGCGAGGAAAGCACACTGCTGACATATTTGCTTGTAAATTTGTCTACAACGTTGAAGACTCGTTTCTCACAGCTGTTCCACCAAAGCCTGACCATGGCTGGCAAGTCTTTCAGCGTTATATGATACACGGAGCAGGCCAAGTGTGGAATCTGGGATGACAGGACTCCTGTCCCTGTGAAGAAAAGAAAGGATGTTGAAATACTGTAACACATTAGTCTCAAATGCTGGTTCCTTCACACCACATACAAAAATGTTGATAGCAACATAACTGTGGTAACTACAATTTCATGTTATCCTTCTGCACTGGATACTGTAAGTGCTTGTTTGACTCTGCTTTTCTGCATCAGTCCGTTTCTTAGGTTACTGATTCACAACTGCAAGTTCATCGTCTAATCCAGAGATGAACTCTCTTAACTTTATATTCTCAAAACAACAAAATGCTCACTTTGGAGTGAAAAAAAAGTAAGATGTTTGGAGCATGTTTGAGGTTTGTAGTGTTCTACAGAAGCGCATAAAGAGACAATGGAAATCCTTCACTTGGGATGTCATGTTTGTAAATCTTTCTTACTGTCATCCAGATAAATTGTTCTGCAACACACAGGGATGTTCAAGCAAAGAATTAAACAATGACAACTAGGTATCTTTGCTTACAACTATACAGGCATGTAAAATAACAATTTCAATGTAGTAACTTTAAAAACTAGTTCCCCTTTCCATGTTTCTCAGCTAAAACCAGCCGCTTCTCTCATCATGGTTGATTAACTCTGCGTCTTCCGAGCAGCACGACGCAAACAGCACACAATCTAACATCTCAAACATTTAAAAATACATATGAAACACTATTTTTATTTGCTTTTGTCCATGCATTAAAATAGACATTCCATTTAGCATGAAAAAAAAAAACCCAAACCTATCTAAAAGTGGAGAAGTCAATGAAGAGATCACAAATTTTTAGTATTTTGGAATCATTACATACATTCAGGATTCAGACAGCAGCAATGTATTATTTCTGCCCTAAGTGAATAATCAAGCAGTTTCTGGTTTGGGATTTTTTCCTCCCCTTGATATTTTGATAAACATTTCAACTTTGGTTAACCTTCAAATGGGGAGCATTAGCCAAAGTTTTTTAAACGTGTGTATGTGCTTGTCTCTGTGCATATCTATTTTATACGTAATGTTTTCTAAATATGTATTTTTACACAGAAAAGCATTCTTAAACTTCAGCAATATCAAAACTCTCTCACATGCACAAATACAATTTTTACTCACCTTTAACATCTAAACGAAGCTCTTCAGTAAAGAAGGTTTTTGTGTCCTTATTTGGACCTTCCGAAGCTGGCCCAGAAAAGACAGGGTTTTCAGGCATAAGCCTGAACAAGTGATAAAGCAGTTTATTCAAGCTTTTAGTTCTTCTAAGGTATTGTGAGTAGAGAACTCGCAGCTGATAGTGTTAAAAAAAGGACAAAAATCACAACATACAGGTGAGACTTAACAAATACAGCTTACTCTGTAAACAATACAAACATGTTTCTGTCAGGAGGAAAAGCAGCACCGATTCAGAGCCAGTGTTTAGAACAGTGATCTACTCCTCTGCACCATTTTGAATAAGATCATAAAATGTAGCAAGCTTGCTTGAAAATGCCAGAAGGAATCATCAATTAATGAATCTTAATCCTTCATTGCTCTAATATTGCCATCACTAACAACTGCAGTACAGAAATCCAAGTCTATTTATGCTTTCAGAATTCCACTGATTCCACAAAAACGAGAGGTAGAAAAACACATAATTAAAAGGCTGGATGCAACTTCAAAATGCAAACCAAACACACACATTAAGAAATGCAGTTTAAAGGAAAAGACTCTGAACATATACCTGAGAGGAAGCTGCTTTGAAGAAAGCTAATGTTAACTTCCAAGTGAGAAGATATCCTAGAACAAGGCAGAACTCATCACTCAGGGGCTGAATAACTGCAAATTCTCCAACTGGAATACATTCCAGGATGTTTTCTAGCAAGAGTTCTTGAGTAGCCAAGACAGCCATAAGAGCTGCTGGAGGTGACCTATGGAAAAATGTTATCTGACATAGTAAAAACCCAACCCTCGAGCAGAGCATTAACCACATTTATATTCCACAGCTTTCCTATAAACCTGTTAGTAAAGCCAGGTATGTAGACCATAAAAGGGGCCTCTTATTACAGGAAAATTTACTTCCTAATTCACACATTACTGCTAGATTTTAAGGTTTTAAGTTTTTTTCCTGAAATGGACAGTTGGTGGTTTTATCTCTTACAAGATGAGTATGAACTGATGCTGATCACTAACATCATGGACAGCTGGTTTTCTTGCTTTCTTTGTCAAGTCACTCCAACAAGGGAACAACTGAACATCATCTCCTGTTCGCTGAACGTGTTGGGTTTGGGCTTTGGCATTGGATTAAAAAGCCTTTTGCAGCTCCATAGTAAGGAAAGATATTTATCATTGGGCTGGCTTGCCTTTGCTTTTTTAAATCAGTTACCATATTCCCCCTTCAAACTATTGATTTTATTGGATTCAAGCGGTATGAAACACCCAGGCCAATTCTAGAAGTTCAAGCAACTGAAGATACCTGTGCAGCTGGACACATTTTGAATACAGCAGTCCAGTAAAAATGTGTCAAGATTTTACAATATAGAACATACATGTTGCACTTTCTCTTAAAAACTACCTAGAAAACAACTGCAAATATTGTTTCCAGTTTTAGCACAAAGGCAGACAACCAGTTATATGGTGTATTTTCCACGTCAGCTGGTTTTCTTTTAACATCTGACAGACGGCTAATCTGCTGCAAATCTCAACTCTCGTAACACATTTTAAAAATACAGGAAACAGTTGTAAAAAGGCATAAGGAAAAATACACACAATGCCAATTCCTCCTCTTCATCACCATAGGATTTGAGATCTTCATCATCAAATTTAGGCAATTCAGGCATTAATCTATAGAAGTACAGAAAGGAAATCAGATTTTTACTATTTTAATGTATGTGAAGCATAGTTCTTTGCTTATCAGGATCAATGTTAATGATAAGGGATAATGACAATTATTCCTTAATAACAATACAGAACCTTTAAGAGACAGGTCACCACTGCAAATTTAGTTCCTGAATAACAGTAGCCAAAGAACATGTAACCTGTCTTGGTTCTCTTCCAGACCTTTTACATTTCCTGAGTCATGCTAAAATAAACTTCTCTATCTCACAATAAAGCTACTGCAACTTCATGCCTCAGTATCAGTGAAAGAGAACAGTAGCTTATTACGCTTAAGCCATCTGCCTCACAATTGACATTTTGAAAACTAGTTTGTGTGTTTGACTGCTCAAGTTCTGTATTCTCTCTTTTGGGAGTAAAGATAGCCAAAAAGCTCACAAGAACACTACACGTTTTCATTCACTTTCTTCATTTTCTTATCTAAACTAATGAACATAAAAAGGTAAAACTATTTAATGACACTGTCAGACCCAGATCAAACCTGGAACATTTCAGTTTACATTTTATGATTCTCTGAGTGTTAAAATAGAGTCTAAAAAAGAATAGCTCCATAGTTATGATATGGATATCTATGTAACAGTGGTACAGAAAATGAAATCGTATCGTCACGTCCTGCAGTAAAATTGCTCAGTATACATTTAGTCTAACTTTACAATTACATTTAGCATTCATAGCTTCATATGATGTTCTCCAATACAGAACACAAACTGCCCAGTTAAGGATTTTCTCCCCATAATGGAACATGATTCTGCCAAACACATCTATAAATGCATGTCCTACAGCACATTTTAAAAAAGCAAAAGGTGAGGGAAGCAAGAAATTTTTTGATCCTTACTTATACAACATACTGTAGACAGAAATCTGTACAGGCCTAGCCCGGAAAAGCAACAATGGACACAGCGTATTGAGTAGAGTCTGGAGTTTATCTGGAAGATTTGTCTTCTGGCCTGCAACAAACTTCGCTGGCAACTTATGGTTTAACAATTGGTCCTTCGAAATGTAGGTCAGAGCTTCACCCAAAGATGTTAACACAGAGTTCTGAAAGGAGCCTTCAGAGGCATTTTTTGTTTCTCCTATTTAAAGCAGAGAAGGTCAAGCTGTCATACAGAACGAATGGATGATAGCATGAACAAGCATTACCAGAAACAACTCTGACTCTGCTTATCAAAATCTATCGAATCTTAAAATTCAGTGTTAAGTGCAATTACTTCACTAGTTATCATACAAGTGTTCAAAAAAGCAAGTTTTCATAAGCTACACTGACATAATATTCCTGTAAATTAAAAAATACAGCCTGTCAAGTTCTGTTTCAGAATAGCCTGACAGGTGCCACTCTTACCCTCCTTGCCATATACTTGCCTGTGACTTTCACCAACAAAGGTAACAGCAAATTGTGAATTCCTTCAGAAAAGAATTCTTTCCATTCACTGATCAAGTTCACAGGAAGGTTTTCAGTAGTTTCAGGAGCTGCAGCTTCAAAGTAAGCACTAAGGGCAGATGCCAAGTCACAACTGACACAAGCAAAAATCTGCACAAGCGGGACACGATAAAGCGAATGGTTTTCGCTTGTTGTCTAGAAGGAAAAAAATAATAAGATTTCTTAACTACAAATTTGCTTTAAAGTGTGTGTTTCACATTACACTTTCTGGTATAGACAGCGAATTTCAAAGATGACTCAATTGCAAAACACTTTTTTAAATTATTTGGGGGGAAAAAAGAAAAAATATAATCTGTATTATAGTAGGACTTGCTAAAAATTATTTCCAAGTCTCATCAATATTTAGAATCCTGGATTGCTTCCCCTGTACTACCTTCTTTACAATGACAGAAACTGCCCCCAAGTGGATTCAGACAGTAATGTACACAGCTGTAGCTTATCTACAGCACTTTTAAAATCAAGTGAGCCGAAATTGGTATGTGAAGTACTCTCACTTTTCTCTCCCAAACATGAAACCCATGCCAATATTATGCTTGTATTTCCAAATTTCAAAAGGAAATTGACAACAGACTACTGTAAACTGGAAAATATTGCAGTGGCAAATCAGGAGAATATTTCCTCTCCCCTAACATAGCTCCGTTTTATTCTTACTAGTTTCCCCAAAAAAGGAGTATCGTTATATATTAAAAAAATATTCCCAAGCACTTATCTATGCAACACGTTTTTCATACAAGTTTGTTCCTTGGGTTTTTTCCAGTTTAAAAAAAAACACTTTTGAAGGACATACAGCACAGGTAAAAAGATTAATCCTGAGACCAACAAAGGCCAGATGGAAGTTTCCAGCCTGCCCTTACAAGCCTGTAGCAACAGAGTACTAGAATTATTTAAAAAAAAAAAAAAAAAAGCCAGAGGGTGAGACATTTTGCATCTTTACTAGATGATCTTTAAAGGTCCCTTCCAACCCTAACCATTCTATGATTCTATGAAGTAGTAGTCAGCTGTTCACTGACTTGTTTTCTAACAGCATTAGGAGAGTATTTTGATGTTTTGTGTGATCATTTATAAATTGAAATGCAGATACTGACTTTCATTCAGTTAATTTTTATATGTCATGGTAGACTTTTGTCTTAAAGAGATATTTTTCAATAGTGACTCATTCGAAATTATTCTCTGATTACCAATACCATTACTAAACATCATATTACTTCAAGAGGGAGGTAATTTCATCTCCATATACAAAAAGAAACAAAGAGGTACAATATTGCTCATACTGCTGAGCCACATTTGACCGGTGTCAAAGTTCAATGAAAAAAGGATTTTGTGCAATTCTTTTTAATGTTGTGTCAAATATTTGCTAAGCTGAGATCACTATATCCCTGCCACATTTAGCAATCTAAAACGGTAGGTACATCACAACTGGACATGCAACCTTAGCACTCATGGGGCAGGTAATGTTTGTTTTCTTAGATCCATATTTCAATTGAGATGCTTTTAAAAGTAAGTTATCCTTGAAATGCTGAATACCCTGCTATTAATATTGATCATTACTAAAAAGTTAACACACAGACAAAAGAAAGTTAAAATTGTTAAGACTACTGTGTTCTACGCTCTATGTAAGACTCATTAGGAGCACTCTGATTTCCATTCCTCTTGGCAATCCTCATGCATCTTTGCTCAAATTTAACTGCGTCAGTCCAGTAGGTTCAGAGCGCATCAGGACGATCCTATGAAAAGCTGCAATACAATCACCCGTAACAGTCTACTTCAGATTACCTCTAACCAAGCCAGCATGGAGCACATGATAAAGTCCCACTCATTATCTGCCAAAGGAGCTGTGGAATACTTCAGCAACAAGGGAAGGTAACGGATCATCTCTATGTTGAAACCAAGCAACCGAGCACTTGTTTCTTTCAGACTGCTGCAATAAAAATACAACTCAAGCTTACATATCTTCAGGTTGTAGACATGGGTATTTATATTCTTGCCTTTGCTCCTCCTCTTCGGAAAAATTAGTCTTGCACCAGGCTCTGCCCGATATGCTTTTGATACTCCGAGTTAGAATACTACATTAGCTGCCAAGTCTCAGTCAGTCAGTCAACAGGTACAAAACAGACTGTCAGAGCTTCTTGCTCATTTGCATGTTATGCTGATTCCTATTACTGTACAATTTACATATTCACTCAAGTAATATACTTACATAAACAATGAAATTTGGCAATTTTAACTAAATCAGTGCAAGAAAAATAATCGGTTATTTTTAAAATTATTAACTTAAAATATAAGCCGTCAAATGTCCAAATAGTGTACATTATTTTGAGGCTTTGTTGCCTGTATTTTTCTCACTATACCCAAGACAAATGAACGTCAGCATATTTTCATTCCTTGCTGAAAGCTTTCCAAATTACATTTCCTGGTCCAGAATTTTAAGAAACCAGACACCTTGGTTTTGGATACCAGAAAACTGGTATCCAAGTTTTCTTTCTACTACCTAAACGAGCAATTAGAGTTTGGAACTGAATATCCAGCAACACCTACAAAAGTTGGTCAGTTCTGAATGGTTTTGAAAACAGTTGACATCTAGGTGCACTTAAAAAGCTCCCAGTATCCCAGCCTCCAACCACCCAGGTAATTTTCTTCAGTATGAGTTATGAGATACTTAAAGACAGGTATAGTCAACTGACGGATGCAGTTCAACAGAGGCTTCAAAGTGTAATTATTAGAGCAGTGGATGATGGTTGTAACTTATAAATTGATTTTGAGTTAATAACCACTCTGTATTTTTAAACTCTTGGTTTAGAAATCTAAAATGTCTAATTATCTCAAAGTTGCACCCACCAGCTAAAGAGAAAACTCTCCTCATTATCATTTTTCCAAGACATTATGATTTTTAGTATTCCAGGGAGCAGATGATCACAATCAATACTTCTATCATTCAAGCAGGAGTTCAAAATGGAAAGACACCCAAATGCTCCTATAACATAAGAGTATCATAATCAGTAAGTCTTAATTAAGACAGAAAAAACATTAGAATGTGTGTCAATTGACTAAACTGTTCTATTTGAACTTAATGTTAATATCACAAGGTCATTTGGATAATACCTAAGCTTTTTTCTTTGAACATTTAATCCAGAAATGTCACCATTAAATCAAAAACACTATATCCAACACAAACTTAAAAAAAACCCCACACTAAAACAAAACCCCAAAACCTCTCAAACCAACCAAAAACTCCTGTAAGATTAATTGTTGGATTATACAATTAACAAAAAGGGAAAATACTGCTAAGATTTAAATCTATTTGTGCTACTAAAAATGTCGTATGCTAGGCAATAATTACTTAGTAAACGACCACACCAAACAGTCTAGAAGAAATAGGCAAACCGAGAAGACATTTCTTTCTAGGAAAAGCAATATTGTTATATTAGACACATCTTATCTAAAAGCAAACATTATTGCAAAATCATGTTCTGCGAGAACATACTCACCATCTGTACTGGAAAGCTCTGTCTGCGTGCATGTCATCAGTTTGGCCACGCAGTGGAAGACAAGTTCTTTCTTCTCTTCCTCAATTAAAAAAGGTGAGAGACACTGAAGTGTATGCAATTTGCCCTCTGTTAATGGCAGAAACCTATTCATACAAGCAAAACATCAAGAATGAAACAAACCTAAAACTTTAACTAGCAAACAAAATGTCAAATCAGTTCATAATGATCCAATACCCTCTGATGTAGCTAATCCCACACACTAAACTGAGCTTCCCTACATACCACATACATACACTACCAAATTTTCAGTCTTCTAACGTCATTCATCGGAATCAGAAACATTTAACGTTATCAAGATCTGTAAATTAAACTAAAAGGTTATAGGCAGCAGCATTGATACCCTTCTGTTGTCTTAAAAAGTTGTTTCATCTCACAGGACACAGTGTTTTCCACACGAATCACTTTAGCCATGGTTAAGGACCAGAGTCTTCCATGTTCCTCCGATCTCCAAAAAAGAAAAAGACCCTGGTTAATATATACAGGTGCACAGTTCACAGCAAAAGGATTCGTATGAAGTATGCATCAACACACGTAAGGAAATACGGTGGCATTCAATACTCCATACAATGCAAAACCTGAAGGCAGAGTTAGGATTTTTTTTACGTACCTATCAAATATTGTTTGCTGAAGGCTAGCTGTATTATTACTAAGCGTACTGAACTTCTCATACGTGATGTGCATTTCCTCTAACATACACAGATACTCCAAAAGCAGATGAGGAGGACTCTCCAACTCTTCAATCCATTGTAATGAGTACAACAGCTCTGCAACTAGTGAAACAAGGTGGTTGTTTATAAAAAAAAGCTGCTGAAATGTATTCAGTGCATAAGCAAGAAGATTCAAAGATCAAGATTTTTTGGGGTTTTAATGTTTTAATGTTATGTATGTTTTAATGCATTAAAAAGTTACACACATGCAATTTCAGGTGTTTAAGAGCATGAACTGCCTATTTGCCACTGCATCATACAATACAATAAAAAGCTGCAATAATCTATTCTAGACGTTCAGGAAATTTTAAAGCAAATTAAGCATGACAAGAACTCTAACGCCTCTCTATTCTCCCTCTCTCAAATATTTTTTTTTCTAATTTATTTATATTTATTGCAGACAAAGAAATCAGGGTCTATATCCAAAAAAACCCCAAAAAACTAATCACAGTCAGCATGTGGTTTCTTCATTAGCTCACAAAGACCCACACTGAACGATTACACTTCCTAATATGATGAGACTTTTGGAGATGGAATGGTTAATTTAATAATGCTGGCTCTAACTCGAGCATTCTATTAAAAAAAAAAAAACAACCCACAACCACACCACCCACAAACACACAACTAAACAGGATTCCAGCTGATGGAATTAAAGATAATTTGAGGCAGCAATTTATCTTATATTATGGCTAAACACTCAGGGCATTTATTTGCTGACGTGGATACAGTTCCAATTGCCCACTCATGCCAACGCACCAGGGGTTTTGGCAATGAACAACTTTGAAGTTCATCGTAAATTCAAACTTCTGCAAATTCAAAGTTCTGTTGAGACAGCAAGTATATAATCACAAAAGGTCCTAGAAATACGAACGCTATACTTGTGCATAAATAATTAATTTACAACCAATATAAAATCAAAATTCCTTTAATTTTACCATTGCAACTTACTTATATCGTCAATTTTCTGTCTTCCAGCATCATCATTTCCATGGACTACACCATTTTCCAACACAAGCAGTACCATTTTACTTAATAAGGCGGAAGTACATAGGTGGCCTGGAAGTTTAGTTGTGCCGCACAGCTCGACACACGATCCCAAAGGTTCGCAATTCATGCTAAGTCTTCCTTCCAACAGTGGCTTGTGCATCCACTGTAATATGTGCATAAAAGGAGTATGAACAAATAACTGATAGTTTAACGATGCACAGAAGAGCTATGATTCATTTAATCTTCAAAATTCAGAATTATTGAAAAACAAAGATACAAATTAATACCAAAAGCACAATGGTGAAGATGACCAACTCCAGCACATTAAAAATCCTAAGTGCACAGCAGTAACTTGAAACTGCACTGCTACCTCAGAAATAAATATACATCTTTAGAACTCTATTTTACAAGAAATACTAGGGTTACTTAAGATTGGTGGTTGGACAGGAAATACATATCCCTTCCCACTCTCCACTCTATGTATGTCAGCTTTTTGTTGATAGTGCATCATGTTCCTCTACAGATATTGCTGTCTTTCATAAAGTTACTCTTAGGAGAATTAGCTTACAGATAAGAACAGCTTCATGATGTATATTCTGTTGGACAAAATTCCTGAATTGTAAAGTAAGTTGCTGGAGTTCTATGCAGAAAAGGGTAATTTCTTAGATTTTTATTTTCTCCAGTCGTACTAGATGGGACCATAAGCATACAGATTTTGCCCTCTGTCACAGACAGAGGCTGCAAAGAACCTTTACACAGACATACTGCAGTGCCATGTCAAAATAAAGAATGCTTATCACCCTAAATCACAGAGACTTGAGGTGAGACTGACTATCGTGTGCAAGTCCATTATCATTTTCATACCTCAGTGGATAGAGATTCACGCAATCTCCCCCACTCCATTTTGTTTGGCGTGACATGCTCAACATAAGTTCCCACCAGATATCCAGTCGGGCCCTCAGCTTCCATAAGCTTAGACAGCAAATCACTAACTGCAGAGATCAAAACCTGAAGGCTGAGAGAAGGAGAAAACACTGCGAACAAGTTTGGTACATTCTGTAAAAGCAAGATGCTTTAGTTTACATTGATACAATGTATGTTGCATTGTAGCAATGCTATATACATGCTATACCAGTGGCATTTTAAGTTATGCTCTATGCCACAGTTCCCACCTTTGAGAGGCTGGAGAAAACTCTCAGTAACACAGATGCCAATTATATAAAGCAAAGTACAGCACTGATCTCAGTTTGTTTTGGAGAACAACATGTTATGAAATGGACATCATAATTACCTTTTCACATCCAAAGAGGAAGACTGAATTTGTGTCTTGACCCACAGTGCAGATTTATGCAAAAAGGCACTCTGTTTCTGCATACTCCGAAGCTGACACACAAGTGAATTCACACCAGACATCCAAGTGTGTTTTAATTTACATACAAGTAAATCTATTGCAGGGAAAAACAAAAAAAACCAAACACCACTGACAGACAAGTAAACCCACCACAAACAGGTAACTGAAATTACAACCTACAGCATACATGAACGATCACATGTATAAATGGCCTAGAGCAGGAAAAGAATTCTCTTTTCTATGTGGTTACATGCAACAACAATCAAGGCTAATTACACAGGTTTCTTGTTGTAGAGCGACTTTAAATTAACTCTGATACACAGGTTACTATTTGAGTATTAAGAGTGATGTTTGCATTGTCTACTACAACGCGTTCTTAAGGTCTTCAAAAGTGCAGGTCTTTTTAACATGCTGAATGTTCAGTGTATCACAGCATCAATACTCATTTGCAAAGCAGCAATGGTTTTCAGGTTAGTGTTGTTCTACTTCACTGCAACATTTCCTCCTCTCTATCAATGTTAATAAATGCATATACCAATTTATCACTCTCAAATTTTGCATTCAAAGAATGTAAGTCAGGATCTGTCTGGAAAATGAGATGCTGATGGATGGAGAAGTGGGTCACAATTTGTTAGAGCAACTTGACCAATATAAATAGAATCACAGAATGGTTTGGGTTGGAAGGGACCTTAAAGCCCATCTAGTTCCAACCCCCCTGCCATGGGCAGGGACACCTTCCACTAGACCAGGTTGCTCAAAGCCTCATCCAGCCTGGCCTTGAAGACAGCCAGGGATGGGGCATCCACAGCTTCTCCGGGCAACCTGTTCCCGTGCCTCACCACCCTCTCTGGGAAGACCTTCTTCCTGATATCTAATCTAAACCTCCCCAACTTTCAGTTTAAACCCGTTACCCCTTGTCCTGTCACTACAGGCCCTTGTAAATAGTTTCATATTAGTTTTATGCATTAATATATGTATCTTTAATGAAGCAATTGCACATTTTTTCATAGGAACCTCAAGCTCATTCTCTGTACTTCATAGACCTTACCATAATTTATGTAACACTCCAGAAAGCGTGGAATATCACAGCCTCAGAGATAGCTAAAGCACAGGGACACTAACATCAAAAACATTTAAAATCCTTGTAAGGCTGTACAGGACTTGATATTTAGTAGTAACTACTGGCATTGTAATTTAAAAAACAAATTTTCATGTTAGTTACAGCTGCAAGTGCTCAACGTCTGTGACCTCAATATTCTATCATACAGTTGAATCTGTCATGAAAAAGACAATTTAGATGTAATTATCCACTACAAAAATTTTGTCTGAAGCTCTTTTGCCAAATTACCTGTTAGGTGCGTAGCATCCTGCCTCTGAGCACACAACTGGAAGATGGTAAGCAGTAAATCTTCTGAGGATGGCATCAGTAAACACCCTTTAACAGAGCTGAAAAAGCTTGAGGCTACGTCACAGATGAAAGATACTGATGGTTCAGTATTTCCAGCTTCAGAAAGATCCTTAGCTTTAGATAGGGCTGCTTGAAGTTTATCAATAATCCTTTCAACAAAAGCTTCACCAATCAAAGATTCTGTTGGGGAGAGAGAAAAGACAGCATGCTTTGATTACTTGATAATCATTCAAAAGGCATCACGTTAATATGCACCAATTTGGGTTTTATTTACTAATTTTGAATGCAAAATAAAGTGCAGAGTAGTTTCAGTCTAATGTATGCCTAAACTCTCTTTCTTACTGCGGAGCCATCGAGGATCACATTGTCAAGTAAACCAGCTGAAGCAGCACAGACAAAAGGTATATAAAACTGAGCAAGCACAGAGTGATCCCTTCCCCTTTTATGCCTTCCTCGCTCTGGTAATCAATTGTGAGCCAGAGATTACACCTGGACCATTGCATATAAATTAACCCAATCAGATCAATCTTCCACGAATATGCTTATTCCCTTTCTCACTGAAGTAGGCTAATCCCATTTACCCTCCAACTCCACAGCATCCTGTGGCAATGAGTTCCATTATTTCATTACGAACTGTATGAAGAAGCATACCGTTTTTAATGTGTTGCGAGAACACTAAGCTCAAGAGGGTCCACCTTTCTGAAGAGGATGATTCTGATGAGGCCGCTACAGGTTTTAAACCCAGGTGACACAGATCCTCTGCCAGCATTACAAGTCTTTCTCCAAGTGTATCTCCTTTCAGCCAGTCAGAGACTAAGGAAAGTTTTGTTGTGCTTGAGCATGCCTGAATCACAAGAAAATAATTCTATGTTTTGAGAGTATTAACTTTCATTAATAACTAAAATTAATATGTCAGACATGCATACGCAGAGGGAGAGTCATATTATCTGTCATAAACAATAAGTCTCTAGGTGTTTACATCTGCAACAATTTCCTACACTTTCTCTCTGGTCAGACCTCTAGAGTGAAACAAGTCACCTTCTGAGAGCTCTTAGTTTTCCTTTTCTCCAACTATGGAGTTAGAAAGAAAACTTTTCTATGACCAGGTTGGTTGAAATAAGATTTAACTTACAACATAAAATCTATTTACGGCATCTGAATTTCTCTAACAAGAAATGGAAAATCACAAATCAGGAAAACATTAATTTTGGCGATTAACCATTGTAAGTTACAAAATCATAAAAACTGAGGATTCCTAAAAGACACAGTATCTGTGAGATGATGTCATGATCAGCACACTCGATAGTAAATCAAGCGCTAGGAGTTCTTGTCCAAAAAATTTGTAATACACTTCATATTTCATCCCAGGCAAATCTCTTAAATGTCAGCCTCTCAACAGCCCGTGTGAAAAAAATGGTATGCTATCTTTTCCTTGTAAGCACGATGTAAGGGTGATGATACAAATAATAATTTAAATCATTGGTCTGATACCCAACTCCATTCTCTCTACCTTAGGAAGGATGACTAGAAACAAATCAGGAATCCCCCTGGCTCAAAGAGTAAACTGATTGAAAATAGAAGGGGCAAAGATGCTTTTGTTTTAGTAATGAAATGATGACACCAAGTCTGTCCACAGATTTGGATGCAGCTAAAACAAGCAATCAAACTATTACTATTAGATTTTCAAACTATGGAAATTATCACTACTTTAAAAAAAGTCAAACACACGTAACTCTCCAAGCTAACACCCACAAAATATTCAAAACTATGCAAAAAAGAACAATAGTTGACATAAAAGGTACCTTCTGAATTATCTGGAGAAAAATAATCCATTTCAGATCCATCTAAAAAGAAAAACAAAATTCCGCAATATTTAACAAGTTCTTTGCTGAATAGGAAGCATTTAATACCTTTTAAACTGTTTTATAGCTTTATTTTCTGCAAGGGATAAGCAGATGTTGCTAAGCTCCAGTAACAAAGTTACTGATTATATTATTTTTGGCTTCCAAGCGTCTCTCTGCCACACAGATCAGTAAGGGACTGTATTTATACAAAAGGCCACTGATGACTAGTATAAAAGCACACTGTCTAAAAAATTAAGAACAGAGAAATTCTGATGTTATAAATCATTTTTTAGAAGTACCATATAAAAAGGGATCTATGTCATAACCTTTCCCAACTCCATCATGCCAACCTTCGCTAAATCTACCTTCCTTACGCTGAATTCATCTAAATTCACGTAGAATTATCTTCCATTCCACAACCCCAAAATAAAACAATTAACCAACCACAGGCCACAGAAATCATTTTGTTAAAAGCAAATAACAAAATGTACCAGTCATACCTTGGTTAAATCATCAAGAATGATTTTCCTTTCATCGTTACTGTTGCAACAATTAAGCACACTGTACAAAATATCAACCAGACACTGAGTGTCTTTCCTCCAGTCTTCTTTCAGCCAAGGTATTAAGTTCATATACAGAAATTCTACAGATGGACTTTCACGACGAGCTTTAATTCCTTTCTGGGGTTCAGCTTGAGCAGAGCTTGCATCATTTCCCTGCTCTAAAAGTACTTGAAAAACTCTGTTTGAAGAAAAAGAGTTGAGCAGGGCAGAGAGAAATTTCAAATGCTGTTCTGACTTCTGTATGTTGACATACACTATACTCAGTTCAGCAAGGTTGCAGACTAAATTCTCTAAAGGTCCTTTCCTTAGGACTGAACTATGGTGCAAGTCAGCCTGCATTTCAGAATCCCTGCTTCTCACTTCTGTGAGCTTTCCATTCTCTGTGTTTCTTTCAGGTTCACCCTCATCTGTAAACCTGATTTTTAGAGATTTTCTGTTGTTTGATTTTGTAGCACTCTTTGGATTGTGAAGAATTTCTAGCATACCAGATATTGCAAGCAGTGATTTCTCATCAGCATCCAACGTATCAATATGAAGTACACACATTTTTAAAAGATGGTCCCAAAAATCTGACAACAGTTTGTGGAAAACTTGATCTGTGCCATCATGGTTGGAGAGTTCTGCTTTAGCTTCCCAAGAGCCCAGTGTTTCTGCTATTTGATAAAATAACGGTCCGTTTTGTAACCTGGGCTCCTTAACTACAGCATCAGTAAGAGGAATCAGCTATAAAGAAAGAAAAAAACCTTATTATTAACATGATTTTAATATTCAAAATGATCCAACTAGATGATAATTTTTTTCTTTATAAAACGAGGAAATTCTATCATTTAGAAAAACATTGTGGAAGCAATTCCAAAGACATCAGTTATTCATGCTTGAATATAAACCACAGAGTAAAAGAAATTATTTTTATAGGAAGAAAAAAATTGATTAAATTCAGTAAGTTTATTTTTTTTCCATAAAATCTAGGGAAACTTTTAACAGAGAAGTCAATCCTGACAGAAATCTACGTTTTTTCTGTAACTTTGAATTATTCAACGTACACACAACAATATTAAGTATCTCTAATAAATACCTGGTCATATATAAGCATTTGATGAATTTGTCTTTGGCCATCTTCTTCAGCCACTTCCTGCAGTACGGCAAAGCGCAGACATTCCATAAATGCAGTTATAATTGCTGAACTTTCTGAAGGGCTGGCTATTGCTCGCTCACTTGACAACCTATTGAAAAGGCAACACCCGAGGGAGGACACGCTCAGCCACTTACACCTCTGAGAAACCCAGTACGTACGTCATGAATGTAACCCTGGGTGTGTTGTTATCGTGACAACACCAACATGAGAATACAGAATCACTGATGAGGGTCAGATGACAACAAATTCACTAGGACACACTTAAAGAGTCAAAACGATAAACCCAGACATTCAATATATCTTATATTGAAATAATGGTTTCATCTAGTTTTAGCACTCATAAAAATCTATGTAAACAGAAGAAATGCATGCAATCACACATATGGTTTACTGTTTCAGCTGTTTTTCAAAACTCCTTTGCAATTTTCTACACACACACACCACAGAGGTTTAGAAGGTGTCACTTTCTGTCCTGATTTTCAAATAGCAGTGAAAAATTTTCTCAAATAATCAATTAATGCATATTTAAATATCCTCAAGCCAAATGCTATGTTACTTATCTTGAAATGCTTAAAGAAGATTAGTTATCCTATTTCCTGATTTCAAATAAATAAATAAATAAATGCTGCAGTTCATACCCTTGAATGATAGAGCTGAAAAAAGTTCTGAAAAATTCCAGCTTTGGCTCTGCAATGCCAGGAGGCACCTTGCTAATGAATGGCAAGAGATTTGGGTATATAACTGTAGCTAGTCCTCGTCCACCTTCTCGAAGCACTGCCCACAGCTTTGGTAGAACTCCCTTTTTAGCATTTACATGACTCCAACAGTCCTGTAGAAAGAAATACACTTATTGCAAATTAAATGAGAACACACTGCCTTGGAAAAACTCACAAACTAGACATTTAATCTACCTCCCTATGTTGCAGCTGAAACAAGTTATCACAAAATTTAAATCCACTTGCCAGTATTTTTAAAAATCGCTCTCTCCATATTTCAACTTGTGAATTTAAGGAGTCATATAACTTTCTGTACTGTTTAAAATCAATGGACTCTCCTTATTAGCCAACTGCAATTAAAGGCTTCTCTTTAATAATGCTTTAAGGATGCTTCATAAAAGTCACCATTGCAACTGGTCCTGTATTTAATTCTGAATTCTTATTATCAAGAATAAGCAATGATTTCAAAATCCTAACTTTAGAAGCATCGCTAACTTCAAAACTCCCCTCAAAAAGTCTTCTGATGTTTACTAAGTACCTTGGCACCTTCCCCCCACACCTCAAGTTTTTTTTGTCATCTGGTCTGATTTATCATAGTTCTAGATACCTCTATTTATAGCAAGCTAAACAAAGATTTTTTTTTTTCCTCCCATAAGTTGTTACAGTTTATACTAGCTGTTACCAAAAAAAATAATCTGCAGCATTACACCCTCAAACCATCCCAGTCTATGGCAATGCCACTCATCCTGCTTATAAATTCAAAGCTGGTACTCCACTTAAAATTTAAAAATTAAAAAAAAAAAAAAGTTGTAGAACCAAGTATTAAATTAGAGGGGGAACAAACAAACCAAAAATGCACTGCAGGTCACCTTTGTAACTGTCTTTAACCAATAAAAGGGTTTTAAGTGTTAATTTACTAATTAGTAACCCTTATTAATCAAAGGGATTCATGTTGTTTTAATTAAAACTTATAAAAACCCCTCTGATTTCTCAGACATGCTAGACACAATATACTTGAAAGTTACATTGAAACCCTAAGGATGAAGAATGACCATGTAGCATTGATAAAACCATGTTATTAACCATAAAGAAAACACAGTCAAGTAGTTGTTCCTAATTCTGCAGAGAACAACGGTACTTGGTGAAAAGTTCAATTCCTCAAATTACCTCAATAGTGGCAATAGCATAAAGTACAGCTTCCCAAAGAGCAGGGCACACCACTGCATCACTGTCGTCAATGCTGAGAAGAACAGCAGGACAAACCCTTGGTGCTTCAGTTTTCACCAGCTCAGGCAAGTACTGGCAAAAAGCAGAAGCCAGCTCAAAGAAAGCTGAGCGAACCTGGTGTAGGCCACAGAAAACCAAAATTTTAGTCAAAGGATGTCACTACATGTAGTTTATAACATTCCTTTTAAAGTCCGTAACTTACAACACGTGGTCCCTGCATTTTCACACATCAAAGGTTTAAATATTAGTAAAATTTCTAAGCATTTTATCACTAAACAAATTACTTAACAGGCTTATCAAATAATTTATTTTTCTTTAGTTTTAATCAAAGATGTCATTTTAATATACTTCTCAAAATGCATGTGTCCCCAAAAGGACCTTAAAACTTTTTAACAAAAAACTACCAGAATCGATGAACTCCAAGCACTATGGGTCTTAGCAGACAAAAGACCAATCAAATGGTTTTAAAATATGTATCTCCAAAAGTACTAAGAACACATACCGTAAGCTGACACATTTTCTATCTTTCACACGAATCTGAATGGCAGATTGCCAAGAGGTAAATGATGGTGACACAGAAATAACAAATTAGTCTATTGGGCAAATTTTAGAGCAATATTAAGGCCTAGAAATTTGAAGACTGCTTCAAACATAATTCAGCACAGTACAAAGTTCATTCCTGTAGAATACAAGTAATTAATCCCTGCTTAGGTTCAGTGTATTATCTTTAACTAAACAACACCAAAAATAAAGAAGAAATACAAGAAGTCACCTGTGGTATGCTGTGTTTGCTGTATTTCCAAAATTTGTTTTGGGACAGAAGTGACGTTAACTTTTCCTCCAATGAATCCATTTCTTTTTTTGGCAACATGCTAAGCAACTTCTTTAAAGCTAACAAGGAGCAGGTCAGAATCCGGAAAAATTTGGCTTCCCTTTCTTCCTCTGGTACAGTTCTCAGGAAACAAAACAACAATAAAAGTTGAACCATAAATAAATCCATAGGCTTCTCAAGCTCCTCTAAACTGTCTAAACTAACTGACTTCAATTTTTCTGTGCTGTTCTTTTGATTTCAGATGCCAGCAATGTAAATATCTAAACTTTCCATAGGGTCTAACACTACCAAATTACATTTTGAAGTATTAGAAAAAGAGAGAGTTCCAAGTCATCTCATCTTCCAGCGATTCAAAAATGCTCCTAGAAGAGCTGAAACAAGAACTAGAACACTTTCACAAGCATTCATACTTTAGTCCCAAGGAAAGTTGCTGGGATCTGGACCTATTCTGTCTCTTGACACAAAACTAAATCCACTACCTCCAGGGACAGAGGACCCAATACAGACCAAGACTTAAACCATACATATTAAAGCAAGCTAACATACTGGGGGTCACTGAGTGTATCAGGTGTTTCTTTCAGAAGGTGGTCTTGAAGTACCTAGAGGAGGGGAAAAACAAAACCATATATACATGAGAATCTAATACTTATTATGTGAACAATATAGTCTATACATTATTCAGAAACATCTCTCCAATAAAACTTCACAACCTCCAAATCAAGCCTTTTAAGCACATTTTAGACATGCTAGTGAATGAAAATATAATTGACTCCTGGTGAACGTGGTAACTGTGGTACTGTTTGAATCAAGACTTCATAATGCTACGTAAGTTGCAGTCCTATGACAACAGGCTTCTGGGAAAAAGAAGCTAAACTGAAACAAAACAAAACAGAACGGTGAAGTTTGCATATGATGGGCTAGCAATGCATACTTTCACCTTTTTAAATTCAGTTAATTCAGTTTCACGGAGAACTGGCAGAAGAGCATTAACCTTGGTCAGAACAAAATTGGCAGCAGCTCTTCAAAACACTGCTCAGCATTCTTTAATCCTCTACCACTGCAGCTATGCTACGCCAGCATCATTATTCCATCTCTCAGCAACATTACGTGATGACTGAGCATCATTACATAGAAATGCATACAAGAAAATTCACTTCATATCCATTCCTCTAGTTCCAGTCATTCTAAACACCAGTTAAAAACACAAAAAGAGGATGTGTCTTTGCCTCAGTTCTTCCCTTCACATCAGCCGCAGCCAAGTTTCAGGTGAGAGAAATTTAACCACAGAGAATAGATGGGGGCAGGATGAGTTTTAAACCCATAATAACGGTTGACATACACTCAAGACAAAGCCTTGAAGAAATACGTAAGCATGAACTCACATTAAGAATTTCATCTTTACAGAATGCTAAGGCTTCAGGTTGCTTGCTTGATGGAAAAGCTTTTTCAAAAGCTACTTTTGCAGCAGAAGCAGCAGGGGAGTAAGTGTCACACTGGGCAATCAGCCAGTAACCCATGATACTTTTTAAGTAAGGAGCTAAGTGTTTCTTTACTTTAAGAATCAGTTGCTCAAACGATTGCTGAGTTGCTTCTCGAACACGGCGATCATGATCCTGTTAAAGATAAAAAATGAAAATAAACAGAAAGGCTTATTGTTTTAAGAGATGTACATTTGATGCCAGATACTTCAGTGTAGGAGTGATGACAAAAACAAAGCAAGCTGTCTCTTAGTTCAGCCATTTTTGTACTGAATTGAGCCACACAGATTTGATAATCCCAACAGCAATGGCAAAAAAATTCTTGGTAAGGCAAAAGTCCTAACTTAGCAGCATCATATTCCAGGTGTGTCGTACATTCAAAATTGTAACCTTTTGCTGATAACCCTAACTACAATTTCTATTTCCCTCTTACACACTTAGCAGAAAGAGGCAAGAGAAACAGGAAGACTTGAAGACACTTTTTGGAAATGATGACCTAACAAACAGCTATGTCTATCCAGTAAAGACAGCCCAGGCATCAACAGTTCAAGATTCCACCCACTGCCAATACTGAAACATCTCCACAATAAAGAACACTACTTTACTTCAACTTCATGGTTTTCCTAGAACAAGTCAGTAATTCCAAGAAAGTCAGATGTATCAGTAAAGACTACCTTAAAGGTTTTCACAGGAAGCATCCATAGTTTTTAATTTCGACACTTTAATACTTACTATTGAGATTTTACAATAAATTCTTGGCCAGTAAGGAAGAACGCCTTTAACAATTTCTGCTTCTCTTTCCTTGCACATTGTCCCAAACTCCTGCATAGCCTAAAATCAAGACATAGAGAGCATGATAGAAGAATTTGAATAGTTATGTTTTGTAATTTACCAGCTTCTACAAGACACTTCAACACTCTTTTTCAAAAACCAATTCATTTCTTGCAATTTAGCTTCTACAGTCAATTTTATGAATGCTCCATCAGCAGTGCTTGATGGACCTTTTTATAAGTCCTCCAAGATACCTTCCTGATTGCAGTCCTAGCAAGTTTACCACTACAAAATCACTATTAGCTACCTTGATATATTCCTCTCCCATCCTTAAGAAAAATGTAGTAAAATAAAATAAATGCTATGGGGGGCCAAGGATACACCTACTTTTAATTTTGTTGTGATATCCCTTTTAGAAAGTTTTCGCAACACCATTCGGAAATCAGCATCCACAAGGCTGTCTATTTCCTCCGCCCCTTGAACTGCGGGAACATATCCTAGATCACTCTGAGATGTTCCGAATCCAATAAAGCCCGGCACTGTTCCACGTTCTTTGGCGAGGAGCTCTGCAGCTCGGCCGCTGCTAGAAGGCTGACAAAAAACAGGGACAGAAATCAGTTATCTATCTCAGTCATTTTATTTTGCACACATCATGCGTTTGAAATAACGATCCTATTTGTATTGTATAATTAACCTTCTATTTGAAATGCCTCACAAAAAAAGGCCACCTATGCTTTCAGCATGGAAGTCTGACCTAGAAAATTTTTCTTGTCTTCAGAATCAGTATTCCCTTCTCTTACAGCAATTTTAATCCACAAATACTTACAGAGATGATATCGGTTTTATACACATACAAAAAAGTGTAACGGGGAAGTCCTTCTGTAAAAGGAGAACTTATTAAGAAAGCATTTACCCTCCTTCACTACTTCTGTTCTTACTAGTTCTTTCATGTTATTGCATATGGACCAACACAGCTCCCAAGGAATACTCTACAGAACATTGAGGAAAATAAGAACACTCGTGAAACAAAAGATGCTACCCGCAGCAAAGGGGCCGGGAAGGATTTAGAGGAACGGGTACTATGTACCACTACTACTTAACACAATATAATACTATTCCGTTAGTATTACAGTGTGTGTTTGGCTTTCAGTTGGTTTGCCCCAGTTAACTCAAAACCTTGCTCATCCTATCAGTGGCTCAAGCTTATGTCAACCATGCTCTTCAAAAGACTGTCCCAAAACCAACTGATGCTTTAATGTTCTCTGTGATACTTTACAGCCCAAATACTTTTTTTATTTCCTAATGACAGTTGTAGTTCTGTGAGTTTGCAATTTTTTTAAGTAATGACAATTTGCTGAAGTTCACACACTTCTCTGATTTTTTTGAGGTATGTATGCCACGTTTTACCTGACTACTATAACTACAGATTTTTTGCTGCGTGTGAAACCTCAACTATAAGGACACGCTTCTTTGTGTTCCCTAGCCTTCTCTAAAGGCACGAGAGGGAGAAGATTCATAGGAACTCCATAACCTAAACACAACACCCGGCCGCACCGTTCTCCCACCCCGAGCAAGTGCCGCACAGAGCGGATGTCACCCCACTCCAGGCACGGCGGCAAAGCGGAGACATGACGAGCGTACGCCACGGCTCCCCACAGAGAAACACGCCAAATGTCCCCACCGGTACCTCGCTGAACTCACACCCGCGGCGACTTGGCAGCTACACCCCCCTACCCTTACCCCTCTCTGGAAAACGCGTACAAAGGCCACGGGAAGCTGCAGGCACACCACCCTGAAGCGCGGGCTCAGGCCAAGAGTCGTCCCGCAAGCCCGGCCCCGGCTACTGTCACCGGGCCCAAAGGCAGCACCGCCTCCCTGCGAGGGGACGGGCTTCAGCG